CTGAGGCCCTGGTCACACCCGGGAGTGTGAATCACTAGCCCCAGGTCTCTGGGATGTGGGAGGGGCGGATGCAGGAGCATGCAGATTTCCCACCAGCAGTAGCTGATGGACAGCGGTCCAGTAGCTGCTCCATAAGAAAGCAGTCTTAACTGCTTGGGCTCCATGATTTACTGAACCATGGTGCAGGGATTTTTAATTTCTGGAACCTACTGGATCTCACCGGCTGTACTGCCATGTGCTTCTCATTACAGCCCAACGGCACAGGGTAGAAATCGGCAGAGAAGGCCAGGCTGGGAGGCTGGAGCAGACAAGATCCTGCTCTGCTGCCCTGTTGGGATCTGGTCCTGGTTGTAGACAATTCTAACCCAGGGCGGTGAACTAAAGTTTCCACCACCTACAAAATAGGGTCCACCCCGTCCACCAACCAAGAGTGCCTTGGGCCTTGTGCAGGAGCGTGAGAGACTGGGAACTCACCTAAATCTGGACTTTGAAAATTTCCTTTGTAGATTAATCATTGGGAACCCAGGTCTTTTCGAGAAAAACAATACTCTACCCAGCGAGGTTCTAGTCTAAGATGACAAATATCTGTCTGTATCCATGGCTTGTGTGCCCATGTCTCTGGGGTGCCAGGCTCCCTCACAGCCTGCAGATCATCACACCTCACAACACCCAGTGGAAGCCTGAGAAAGTGACAAGCTAGGCTTCCTTTGTTTGGGAAAAGGAGACAGACAATTAGTTGAGCAAAAAGTAAGTCTCACCCTGTAGCCCCACCCCTCCACATCCCTGCTCTCTTCTGAGTTCTATTTTTGAAGTCTTTATGGCACAAGTATCATGGCCAGCACTTCTCTGAGACTGGAGATGGAAAAATCCGCCTTCTCCTTCGACATAAAGAAGATTAATACGTGGCATGTAAATGCACATTGCAGTGACAAAGGACCCTGCCAGGAAGGAAAAGTACATTCATGTCCATGGTGGGTTCTGAAGACCCCCTGGGAGACTTAAGAGAGGTTCTGTTGTTTTCTGGGCAGGGACCTTCCAAATCAAATTTTCAAGTCCCTGATTGAATTCCCAGCAAATTACTCTTCCCAACTATAACCAGAAAAGCATGTTTATATAAACATGAAATTCCATCAGTGTAAAACCCTGTGTAACCCGGTTGCCAGAGCCCCTAATAACGCCCTATTGTGTTACTGTGGTGTTCTGGGTTATCATTATACAGTCTTTGCTCCTGGTTGAGAAAACATGACGTTCCATTAACGATACAGTCTGGGATCCCTCCAGGCCAGAGATGCATCCTGCTCAGAGCTGAAGAGAGCCGAGCCACAGGAAAGTGAACTGACTATCGGAGGGGAGGAATAGCAGGGGTGGGGAGAGCAGCCGCAGACTCAGTTCCTGTGACCCACGGATCTGCCTGTAGCTAGCACCCCAGCCATCAAGGGGCTCAGAAGCCCAAGCACAAACCAAGTCAGCATTCTTTCCCTTCCCACTCTGCTGCGGTCTGCTGATGCACAGCGGTGTCTGGGGAGCTCCTCTCCAGGATGGAGGACTCTGTCTGCAGGGACTACCCTGTAGCCTGTTTGCCATGCCTGCCTGCTGGCCCATCCAACAGTTTGCCTGATTGTGGGTGTAGCTAGAGGCATATCCACAGCGTACAAGTTCCAGCAAGCTTTTCATTTAGCTCAGAAAATACCCCAGAAAGACAATGATGGGAATTCAGAGGCTAGAATTAAGTAGTAAGGGGTTGGGGATTCAGTTCAGTGGCCAGAACCCCCTCCACATATTTCCTTAAGAATTTGAAATTGCTGGGTAGTAGTGGTGCACAGATTTAATCCCAGCACTCAGGAGGCAGAGGCAGGTGGATCTCTGTGAGTTCGAGGCCATCCTGGTCTACAGAGCAAGTTCCAGAACAGCCAGGGCTACACAGAGAAACCCTGTCAAAAAAAAAAAAAAAACCCACAAAATACAGATTCAAAAATCACATTTTGTTGAATATAAAATTGGTATGTTTATTATAGAGAAATTGGAAATTTCAGAAGTTAAAACTCTTATCTTCTAGAGAGGAATTCTAATCCTAACAGTAAGTCCAGACATGCACATGCAGGTGGTAGCTTGGCTTTGTTCTGTTCTGAGAAGGGATCTAGTTACTTAGCCTAGTTTGGCCGTGGTCTACCAAGTGCTGGCACCAAGCCTGGTCTCACTTCTGACAAAGGTGGAATGCACACAATGTTTGGAAACATAATAGTATAAGTATTATGTATTTCTCCTAAAATATCTTGCAAACATGCACAATCCGCAATGGCTATACAGTACATATACTCTGCATATTTCATGTCTTACTTAAATCCCATTGTTAGACATTTAGGTAATTCTCAGCTTTTCACTATAAACCGCATTACCATAGACACACAGTAAGGGCTCCTCTTTGACTACCTTTCTCTCTCTCTCTCTCTCTCTCTCTCTCTCTCTCTCTCTCTCTTTTTCTCTTTCAAGATAAGGCCGTGCTGGATGGGAAAGAAGACCCTTAGCTGTGTTAAAAGCATGTGACACTTCCTGCCAAAGCATTGTCTCACCCACACCACTCACATGGCAGCCACATGTGACTATTTAATTTAAACAAAATTAAAAGTTCACAAACTCATTTGCATGGGGACCACATACGACGAGCAGCTACTGTTCTGGACAGCAGGAGCACAGAGCACTTCTGTCCTTCTAGAAAGTTCTACCATGCAGTTCAAGTCCATGAAGACCATTGATTTACACCGTACCTAGCAGGACAGGAAACAGGTGGCCGACACTGGACTCTGCAATGCTTTAAAAACCTCTGCCAACCCAATAAGCACAGTATCTTGCTTGATCTTTTTCATTTCTTCAATTGCAAGTGAAACAGAGTGGTTTTGTTTGTGCATTAACTTTCACATAAATTTTCCTTGGGAAATTATGACATAAGGCTAATTTCATTTCTAACTAGCTTTTCCATACTAAGATCAGGCTTCAGAGAGTAAATTAGGCTGCAAAACCTTTCCCAGCTTCTATATTCCACTTACGCTATTTTGTTGCCCGCTGAAGAGCACTGTGCTTACATATTCAAATCTCCCTCCATTCTTTCCCATGGCTTCTGTGTCCTTGTCATTCTCTGTAAGATGCAAACCTGAGGTTACACAGACCTTCTTCACCACTTGCCAAAGAACATTTCTAAAAACTAATGAACTCATTGCCCATTTATTTGAAATTCCACTAAGCATTCACGAGTACTTATATATTTTTCTATTTTGTCCACATACGCTTTGAACTTTTCCAAACTGTTTTCATTAATTTGCCTTCTAATACATTCCAATATTTTCTGAGAAATTATGTCTTCATTATTCTTTTCCAAAAATGTTTTATACCTTTTGACTTGGTTGCCCCCCCCCCCAGAAATAATCCTAAAATGATTCTACTGGATTTCTTCCATCACCACAATAAATTCGTTTATAAACTAGACCAAATGTTCAGCTCAAATTATAGAATTAGGACACCTGGTTGTGTTCACAGCACCCCACAATCCTCTGGGGAAAGGGGGATTTGTTGTTGCTGTAGTTCACGGTTCAAATTTCCTTATGGGTTCCTTTGAACCCCGTGGTTTTTGTTTCTTTTGAGTCTCAGGTAGCCTGGGTTGGCCTCAAACTCACTATGTGGCCCGGGAGCACAGGATTGTTTTGAACTCCTGGTCCCCTTGCCTCCACCCCCATTATGGCAAGGATTGCGGGCCTGAGCCACTACCACCACCACCACCATGAGTTTATTGGTTTCTGTGGTGCTGAGGAACAAACCCAGGGTTGGGCATTCTAGGCAAGCACGCTACTGAGATGAGCCCCAGCCCTTGAGTCCTCTTCCGAGAGCACAATGCCTTGCACCTTTGGTTTCAGACAGAGTCCCAGAGTTTCCCGGACCCAGGAGCTCCAGCTCCCACCTGCTAAAAGGCACAAAAGATTTTCCATTTCTTAGCCTGAGCCTGAAATTTTAAGTATCCACCTTCTCATAAATCTGTAAGAAAGAGATCTCACTTTTTATCCAAAGAATCTGGAGTTCAAAACAGCCTCTACGGAAAAACCAAACCCCAGCAGCAACTGCGAAGCACATTTGGTGTCCAGCGGGCAGCTTATTTTTCAGGACTCCTGTTCCAACTCCCAAATACTTTCCAGTCTGTGAAATTCATCTCCCCACCACTGCAAGCGCCTCTCCTGGCACTGGCACGGGTCTAAGGAGCCTGGATCTTGAGGGACCTTTTATTGTTGCTTTTTAGCAGAGCGAAGGAAGGAGCGCTTGAGGGACTGCGGCTTGGCAACCCTGTGGGGATCTGGAAAGTGTTGAACTGGTCTTAACTCAGTTCTTCCTCAAGCAAAGTCCATTTTAGTCAAGAGGCCAATCATGCTGGCTTCCCTGGCAGCCCATCAGTCAAAAAAGCCAACAGCCCAGATTTACCTACATCTCAGCTCTGGAAGCAAAGGGCGCTGAGGACATCTGCCAGTATCTGAAAGCATTTTTGGATGATACCACTTAGGCGGAAGGGTGGCAATGTGACTGGCAGCTATCTATGGGGGGGGGGCAGGGATGGTACTCAGCCCCCCTACGAGACCGTCCCCACAAAAGGTAAACTAGAATCCCAGAGGTAAAGAATCCGCGACTTGGACTCCCACTAAGTACCCAGGGTCATCAGGCATCAAGCTATGAGAACAAAGACTGCATTTTGGGGCCGGACATTTGCAAAAGGAGATGGCTGGCTTTGAAGAGTACTCTTGCCTCTTTGGAAGTATCTGCAAGTTCTACTTTTGGTTGCAATCGTTATCACTAAGAAGGGAAGCAATCAGTCAACTGCATCCTCCCGGGACTCACAAGCTCAGGGCCAGAGACAGTAAGGAAAACAGGCAAAGCAGCCGGGACCGCGCACAGCTGGGGACCAAGTCCAGCAGTGGCGTCCTTGGGGACCACCCGCCGGAGAACAGCATCCTCCAGACACTTACTTGTCCAGGATGAAGTAGAGGTCGAATCCCCCATAGCAAGCTGGTCCCCCGTCCTCGCGACGTCCCCCGTGTCCGGCGCACACGAGCACGAGCGCAGCCACGCAGAATCCCCGCAGGCCCGCGCCCAGGCTCCCCGCGCGGTCCATGCTGCAGCCGGAGCGCTGGCCTCTCTTGTGTCCACAGGACCTCAGGGGCTCGCCATTCGCGGCCGGGACTCCCGTCCGGTCCCCTGGCTTCCTTGAAACGCCCGGAAGCAATTGTCCAGAAAAGTTCAAGGGTTTTGCTCTGGTTTCCGCCGGTTCTGCGCCGGGGTTTCGGATTTCAGGGACCCCAGAGCGCTCTGCACAGTGGAGCTGATGGGCTCGGGCCGTCAGGCCGCTCCCAAGCTCAGCTTCAAGCTTTGCAGTCGAAGCAGTTCCGTCCTGACGGCTCTTTGTCCTAGATTTTAAGTATGATGGGGTGGGTTTTCAAATTGTTCTTGGTTGGGGCAGTGCGGTGTCTTGCTCCCTCCCCTCTTCCCTCCTTTCTTAGGTTTTTTTTTTTTTTTTTTTTTTTTTTTTTTTTTTTTTTTTTTTTTTTTAAGGGTGTGGGGAAGAAAGTCCAAAGAGTGCCACCTTGTGGCCAAGAGCGGCGAAAGTGTTGTTGGGGTCCTATAGACCTTGGCTGGTGCAGGAATGGGTGAGTAATTTGGATGGCAGAGGATAAATCTAAGAGTTTTCAGGTAAGCTGTAAACCTTAAATTAATCCTTCCTTTTTGTCTTGCTGGTTGACTTCCCCGCCGCCCCACCTCTTCACTCTCTCTAGCCTTTCTAAGATTGCTTTCTTTTATTCTTCTTCTACATCTGCGGATACACACACTGTAAACATGGGATGGCAACTCATTTCCTTCAAGCAGGGTGGCGCCAACCTCAGGCCAGGACTTTTCAAACACGACCCTTTGTGCCAGCGAAGCAGGGAAGAACAAGGCCTTTGTGATCTGATCCATCGAGCGACCTTACATAGTGTTATTTCAGATCATGAAGCGCTCTGGTTGAACTCTGCACACACAATGCCACCAAATGAGAGGCTTGCCTTGAGGCTGCCGGTTGTGGACTCTAGGTTGTCTCGGCCTCCACTGTTCAGGGGGTACATGATAACAGTCTTCCTTTCTTCCTGTGAAGTCGTTTTCCCTCCTGTCTTTGATGACGCGCCAAGGAAATAAAGAGCTTTCGAGGCTGTCAACAATTCAAGCCATTAGGTGCTGTCCTCAAGTCTTGCGCTTGCCTTTCTAGACTGCAGGGTCTTTCTTAGTTGGGATCCCAGTTCCCACAGGACACAGGGCCTAGCTTCCCCACCACTCTGGAACTCACCAGTCAATGGACACTCTTGTCCCGGTTTCAGGGCTCTTCCAGATAATCACCCTGTTTGTCCTCCACTCAAGGGCCTCTGAGACCTCTACTCCCACCATGACCATCCGGGTAGTTTTCCTCAAAAGAATATTCCAGTATTTTGGAATGCTTTATTAACTGCCCATTGTGTTTTCAGAGAGGCATACTATGAGCGGATCATACTACCTCTTCTCTGAAGTGATCTCCAGAGCAGCCCAGCCTCTGTTCACACACCTCCCACAGAGAGGAATGTCTAAGGGACTTGTTTGATGGTGCAATTGTGTTGGTGTCTGATTTTCAAGGCCTAAACATAAGATATGTGGCTTCCCCATTCTTGGGTCACTTACTCTGAGGAGACTCAGTGACCGTGATGGCTATTCCTGGTTGTCAGCTTGACTATATCTGGACTGAATTACAATCCAGAAATGAAGGGCACCCCTGTGATCCAGATCTTGAGGCAGGAAGACAACAAACCTTTACTCCAGATAGTTAGGCTGCAAGACGTCTTTAATCTGGCCTGCACTTTCTGCTAGAAACCTATAAAGGGACAATGGAAGAAGGAAGGGTTCGCTCTTACCCTCGCCTTGTCCACACACCCATGCCTTCACTGGCATTGGAGCCTACTTCTTCTGGACCCCGGCATATACAGAAGACCAGCTGGGGCCCCAGCCTCGTGGGACTGAGCAGCTACTAGATTCTTGGACTTTACATTCGCAGCTAGCCGTTGTTGGACTGCAGCCCGTAAGTCATTCCTATAAGTCCCATATCTATATATGGACAGAGAGAGAGAGGGAGCGAGCGAGAGTCATTCATTCGTTCCTCAAGGTCTCTGTGACTCTAAAGAACCCTGACTAATATAGTGGCCTATTATGAGAAACCCCAGCCCCCAGCACCTCCACCCCATGCAGGCTGATGCTGCCACCCATGCTGACAGTCAACCACTGTCAGCAGCCTGGTGACCCGGGAGCCGATTCTCCAGGGCCTGCCAAGCCTTCGAGTGACCACAGCTTCTGAGACCCAAGCAGGCATCTAACCTGGCCCTCCCCTGACTCCTGACCCATGGAAGCAGAAGACAGTGTTTGCTTGCGTTCTCTGCTGCTAACTTTGGGGACAGTTTGCTAGGCAATAACAAACTAACAATGCCTGTTGTACTTTAACCCTTGGAGAATTTCTCTAGGATGAAAGTGATTTGACAGCTTCCCAGGCTTGCTTGTCTACGAAGCTGTGTGCAGGTAACACCTGCTCACACCCACATTTTAGGAATTACTGTTTGCAAGAAAATAATAATTAGGGGAGGCAAAAATACTCTTAACTGGTCTAAGTTTGCTTTTTCTGTACTTTCTCCCGCCTCAAAAGAGGAAACCCATCCTGGCTCCGCCAAGCTCTGTGATAAAGAAATTAGGAAGAAAAGTCTGCAGAAACCAGCTGCGCCACTGAAGACTAGAAAACCAGGGGTTACTGGTCCAGAAAGAGAAGGAACTTGAGGGCAGTGTAATGAAGAACGTGTTTCTGAGATTGGCAGGGAAAAAACTTGAATGTCCCTGCAGGGAATGGAGGGACAGGAGGAATCAAGAAGATTTTAGGAACATCTTCTCTCATCTTCCTGCCCTCTGGATCCAATGAGCTATTTAAACCTGGGGTGACAAAGAAATGCCTTAAGAATATTCTGGGGAGAATGGCTTAGGAAGTCAGTCTGGGAGAGAACACTGGGTCACTGATAGAGCCTCTCTAAAGTCAAAGTCACCATTACAGAGGACAGGCAGAGGCGCAGACTCCAGAGCAGGAGGATGGCCCATTCAAAATGTTTCTAGAGGAGCAGGGAGGGTAGAAGAGTGTGCTCCCCACCCTCAGGATAAATCCGGCCCTCAAGAAGGCAGTGACGTTGCTGGAGTCATTCAGGCATTAGAGTGTCCCAGTTGCCCCTGCCCTTCTTCCAGGATTTGCAAAGATGATCATCTCCATCTTGAAACCACCTCAGCCACTGCAGCTCCCTTCCTTCCCTTCCTCCCCCTCCTCTCCCTCCTACCCCAGTTATGCAGGTAGAGTCAGGGTGTGAAGGAATCTAGACAGTACCACATGCATTGGAAGTCAGGAGAATAAGCTCTGGGAACCCTCCATTTCCCGACAAGTGTCAATTTCACGAGGGAGTGTTCCAGTGGAGAACACTGGAGGGATGCGATCCTGTGCTCTGTCCTTAGGAAGCGAGCAGCTTCCTTCCCAGGAGGCAAGAGAAAGAGGTAGTGTGTGGCTGTTCAGATGTTTTATCTTCAATAGGGAAAGTACCAAGATATTTAAGGATTCCATAAATATCAAACCCTTTGCCTTTCCGGAGATCAGAGAATTTGCCACCAGACTGACATGCCATAGCTTAAGTGTGGCACAGCCATCACCATACCAGAAGGGGCTGAGTTTCCTCCACCGAGAGAGTAGTTATTAAATATGACATACCTACCTGTCAGCTTCGTCAGTCTCACTCCCTAGATGACACCTCCCTCCCATGGTCTAGGTCTTTCAGTAAAGCCTCAGACACCTGCTAGGTGCTGCATCACACTATCACACTGCCCTCTAATCTTCCCAGGATGCCAGTGGGCACCAAAATGCTCCTTGGGCTATTGGCAAAGGCTCCAAAAAAGGCTCCAGACAGTGCAGTCCGAATAAAACTTAAGCTGTTTCCCTAATAAATAGTGGGCGGCAATATGGACAAATCTGATATACTCTAGTACATTTCATGTCGGATTGGGTAAACCCACTCTTTGCAGGGGCTTGAGTGTCTCACTGGTGGCCAGGACCACACACCATGCATAGAAAGGTCAGGGGACTATTTACCAGAAGCAGATTCTCTTGAACAACAGAATTTCTGAAGAACCTGAGCCATATTGGCTTTGGTGAAGGGATAAACAAAGTACCAGCAGTTAAGCGAAGCCCAGGCACTGAAGCAGCCTGCAGGAAGAGGTCCTAGGGGGATCCCAGAGGCCAGGCAACCTGCAACTTCAGCCCACAAGTGGCCAGAGCTGTTCAACTCAGGAACATTAATACTCCAGCAAAAGCCAAGCTGAGTCTAGCTTCAAGCAGGTTCAGTAGAAATAGCCCTTGATTCATTCCAAAGCCCCAGTCCAAAGCCCTGCTAACAACCCTTGCCATGAAGGGATGAAACCCACTCTAGATGGGATGTGACCCAGCGCGGACTGACTCATCCCTCCAAAAACTAAGCTCATTTTGTAGCCGGGTCAGTTATCAACCCAAGACAGATCCTATTGAACCTGATCCACGAGCTGGCTCTGCTAGGGCCACACACCATCTATATTAGACACTTCTCTCACCATTGGGACAAAATGTCACAAGCAGGGGAGGGGGGTTTTAAATAGGAAGGAAGGAATACAGTCTTCGACGGTGTCAAAAACTTGAGGCACCTGGCCACATTGCCTCTATGGTCTGGAAGCAGGGGTTCACCTGGGGCCCCAGCTTGTGGGGTGGTCTCACCCCCAGTCAGGGTGGGACCTCCTACTTCAAATGACCTAATATAAAAACTCCTTCACAGTTATTCTGGAAGGCTTAGCTACCAGGTAATTCTCTCACGCTGATCATCATTATAAACCCAGCTTTTTGAAGAACTCCTTCTCTGGCCTTTGCTGGAAAAAAAAAAAGAAAAGAAAAGAATAGTTCATTTCCTGTAGAACAGAGACTAGGCCAACTAAATTCAAAACTCTAATGTTGACATGGGCCAGTCAGTACAGCACAGGGTCCTGACAAGCCTGGAACTTACAAACGATGGAAAGCTATCTTAGATAAGCTGAAGCCAACACAAAGCTAATCACAACCCAGGCCAGTTCAGTGCCAATTCTGCTCAACTCTGGCATATTTAAGGGTCTTACTCACAGATTCCAGACCAATTCACACTGATGGAGAGAGCAGGGAAAATCTCTCTAGTCCTGTCAAACCCATAATCATTTTGATTCTTCTAAAGGCTGCTGTTGTGAGGTCTCCATCAGAGAACACTACCTGGGCATAGGTTCAAGCCAATAGGAAGTCGTTTTTAGCCAGCCTGTGACTACACTGGGTTCTCAGGACCCCACTAGAGCCTAGAGCCTTTCTTAAGGTGAGCTTTTAAGCACCGAAGCCACATCCTGGCTTGACACGCCTCAGTTAGCAAGAACGGTTAGCCCGGAGTAGAGCTACAGAAGCCAAAGAACAAGGGAAGGACCTTTGAGAATTTCTCAGGACTACAAACTTCGATAAATTAGGTCTTTGTTCTTGCTTTGGCAGGCGCTGCTGACTATGTGCTGGGTTTCCAGGCCTGAATGGTTCTTCCGT